TCTCTGATAATTCACAGGTGTTGAGAACATCCTATGTGATAGGGTCTTTATGTACATTTTAGCATTTAATTTAGGTATTGCTTTATGAGGTCATTACCCTCACATCCAGCTGACAAAACTGAGACTCAGGTTAGTTAAATAACTTGCCCAAAGTCACACAGCCAGTTAGTAGAGGGCAGGAAACACGCCCAGGCCTGACCAAGCAGCAGCATTATTGAGAACACAAGGAGCTCAGGCAAGAGGCTGGCTGACTGGGCAATGGCAAGGAGCACGAAGGAGAAGGATGGTAGACTGGCCAGCCTAGTAAGGAGGGGCAGGGCAAGACAGCCTATGGGGAGAGGCTGAAGATGACAGGAAGGTTTGGAGCCTGGGGCACTGGGCGGGTGATGACCCTATTAATAGAAACTAGGAAGTCTAGAGGAGGAGCAAGTTTAGGGCCAGGAGATGATGAGTTCATTCTTAGACATGTTGACCCTGATTTGCTAACAGCGGGACATTTAGGCTGAGGTCTAGCCACAGTTCAATTCGGAAAAATCAAGACTTAAAAACACCCCCTTGCCAAACTCAACTCCCCAGCTGTTCACACCAGGGTTCCCCAAGTTACTGGCCATGAGTTGTGGTTGCCTTGTTTGGTTTGCAGCAGCCCAGCCAAGCCCAAGTTCAAGTCCCGCTACGACCGCTAGGGGTCCCCACTGGTGCACAGACCTGATGGAGCTGCCCAGGGTGTGCCTGCCGTGGGGCCTGCCTAGAAGGGATACCATGGGTTTTAGGGAGCCTGGCTCCTCTGTCACAGGGACACAGGTTTCTTCCTCTTGTAGAGGTGGGAGGGAAAGGGGCTCACGTGACCCAGAGCACAGTCTCCCCATCCTGGCAATGCTTTTCTTGGGAGTCTAACATTAACCTTCACCATCAAGTTCTGTGGACCTTAGAACTAGGGAGAGCAAGCTGGGCCCCATTGCCTGCAGGCATCTTGGGGACTGCCAGCTCCCGGCACCCTGGGGGACACCATGTCCAAGGCACTGGGGCTCAGGACCTCAGGCAGTGAAGCTGAGAGCAGGATCTCAGCTGTTCAGACTGCTTGTCTCCCCTGACATTTGCGTCAGCAGCCCTGCCCTTTGACTTTTAATTCCCCCAGAGAGGAGGGTGGAGGTGATCAGGACTAATTATCTGCAATTCAATTCGACCAGCAAGTTATTGGGGTTTAGCCTGGCTTCCTGCCCTCCCACACCCCCAGCTTTATGGCCTTGGTCTCCTTCGGAAGCTGGAGAACAGAGAGCAGGAGGGTCCTCTTGGTGTCCTGGTGTCAGAGTGCCCTGTGGGAAGTTACGCTTATTAAAAGTGTTTGGAGTTTCCAGATAAATGTGTCTCCATTCCCATGCCCAGCCCAGGCCCTGGGCCTTCAAGGCAGCTTCCCACTATGCTGGGGCTTGTTGGGACATGTCCCAACATGGGCCGGACCAGGCGAGGGCTTCCAGCCTCCTGGCTGCCCTCCTGGGTTAGGGGGTGTAGGGCTTTGGAAGAGAAGAGATAGGACAGGCACTGGGGAGTCTGGGGAGCCCCCCAGGGCTGGGGCCCCTGCCAGTGTCTGGTGTCCCTCTATATTTGGCTGCAACATTACTGACATGCCCTCTCAGAGGCAGCCAGCCCAAGCCCTGATGTCTGCCTCTAGGGCCTGGACTTTTTGGGACTATCCTTGTGGGGTCTGGGGGAGGCAGAGGTGGGGTTTAAGGGAACATTTCCTCCTGGCTCCAGGGCAGAGAGGAGCTGAGGGTGTGTGGCATAGAGAATTAACCCTGAAACCTTTCTCAGAATTCCTTGTACAGTTACTCGATTGTTCCTTCTGTTCAGGTTTCCTGGGGAGGCCTAGTCTGGGGCCACAGGGACTGCCTGGGCATGAACCCCAATCCCTTCTCCCTCAATTTAAACCAATTCCCTCCATACCAGATTTTAAAAAATTTTTTTTAATATTTATTTTTAGTTTTAGGTGGACACAATATCTTTATTTTATTTTTACGTGGTTCTGAGAATGGAACCCAGTGCCTCACGCATGCTAGGTGAGCTCGCTACCACTTGAGCCACATCCCAAACCCTATACCAGATTTTACTTGGAAGCACTCTAGGGGTAGCTCACTTCGCCATCTTTTGGATTTCTCAGATCACTTAACATTTCCAAAAAAACAATTTAGGATCTGACATGGTCACCAGTTTTTTTTATTTTGCTGAGTTAAGGACATTAAAAGGAAATGTCAAAGGAAGGGTGCTTTTAAATACATGCACACGCTATTGAAAACGCATGGCTCAGATGAAAGGTCGAGTAGATTCAGCTTTCTGAAACCTCACTATATTGTCCTTATTATTCTCATTTTGCCTCGGGCAGATGAGAACATGGCAACAGCTGCCACTGGGCACCCCGTTGCTAGACTCCTGTTCTAGGAACATCTGGTCCCTTCCACTGCTTAGCCTGGGCCTGTTGCCAGGGCAGCCAGCTGTGCTGGGGGACCCTCCCCAGCACTCTCCCCAGCCATCTCATGCACTTTGGCCTCTTCATTGCTCCTCCTCTCCTCTCTCCCCAGTATTTGCAGAAGGAGGTGAGGAGCCTTCTTCATAGCACTCCCAGACTGAAGAGAGCAGATTGTCCCAGCGAACTCCTGGCCCCCTGCTGCAGCCCAGCATCTGCCCAGGAGAAGTCACAGGGTCGCCATGCTCCCTGAGGATCGCTGCTGTGGGAAGTGCCAGGTCAGGGAGGCCAGAGCCTATGTCCGCCACTTTCTGCCCTGTGATCTGAGACTAGTCCCACAACCTCCCTCCCTGAGCTTCTGTTTCTTGTTCTATAAAATGGGTATATTAGCTCCTCATCACAGGGCCAGTGTGAGGGTTAGATGAGAGAATGTCTGTGAAAGTACTTTGTGAACCATAAAGCTTAGGTAGGGGTAGCTATTATTATTATGGGAAACTAATAAACAGCTGAAGAAAGAGCAGTCCCACAGCTGATCTCAGCATCTGGGTACAAAGACAGGGTCACACCCACCCTGGGGTTGCAAACTGGGAGCCCCTTCCAATGCCACAAAGGAGCACCAACCTGATCCAAGGAGTGTAAGAGGCCCGGGCTGGTAGTCAGGCCTTCTGCATGACTAGGACCCTGCCTCTGGCAAGTACAAGAGAAAGGGTCCCATGTTGGATGTAAAGGCTTCTGTTATGGTGGCTGCCCTCTGGTTGTTGGTGCTGACTGCCTCGGAGATTGTAGAGAAGTATGTGGAGGGCTTCCCAAGGAGGAGCCTTTCTGGGGTAAGTGGAGAACATCAGGCCTGAGGATTCACGAAAGGCCCATTCCTGGACACCAGGCCACTCACCTGTCCTCGCCATGTTACCATGGGGCAGAGTAGGGGCACACCAACACCTGTTCCCAGTTCAGCTGGATCCCTTACTCTGAGGAGCCTCAGTTTCCTCAACTATAAAATAGGAACAGGAGGTAAAGTTTGCTGGGAGTTTATCTGAGATCATAGGTGAAAGCCCTTGCAAGATGCTGGGTCAAAACAAGGTGCTCTGCCTACCCTCCAGGGAGTCCTCACAAAAGGAACCAACAGTCCTGAGAAAGCCCGCACCTGTGACCACTCTGTCTCCCCCACCTGGAGTGGAGCCCTGGCCTCTGCCCTGACCAGCGGCCAATAGGGCAGATCTCTCGGCCCAGCCAGGCTGTGGCTGCCCCTCCTCCCCTGGCTGCAGCCAGTTGTCATGAGGTCATTGCCACCTTGCCCAGCTGGCATCCCCCTGCCCCCTCCCACCCCCATGCTGACATCCCATTTGGCAAAAAGGTCGGAAAAGCCGCTGACACTTCCAGACCCTGAGTTCATTGACTGGTCAGGGCCCGCAGGCCACAAGCTGACCATGTGGGCAGAGGGTTTGCAGAGTGAGGGAGAGGCCCTTCCAGGCCTTCTGCCTGCCTCAACCCCAGCCCACCCCCACAGGATACTCCCACAACTTCCACGACACCCCTACATTACCTACCGGGACCTACACACCCCCCTCCACACGCTCCCCACAGTCTCTGCTCCCCCACATAGAGTCCCCCCACACAGGCAGCCAGGGCTGAAATGGCTCCTCCGTGAAGCTCCTCATTGCTCATTTGTGGAAACCAAGGCCTCCTGAGAGGGCAAGGGTTAGTCAAGCCACACCATCAGTTTTTCCAAGTGCTTCAAAGTGCCAGAGGGAGTGACAGCATGGAGACTCCCGCCTCCTCACTGTCCCCCATCTCACTGCAAGGAGCCCCTCAGCTGGCCCCACCCCAGGCTTCCTACAGGGTGATTTCCCAGGGTGAAGCTGGGCTCACCCTCTGTCCTGGGTGCAAGGTCATCTGAAGCTGACAGGGGAGGCCCCACAGCAGAGCCAAAGCCTTCACAGCTTGATGGTGACAACAGGCTTCTTCAGTGACTACTCAGCCCAAAGCCTACTCCCCCAGTCACTCTGCCAGGCCCTGCCTGCCTCAGGCTCCCTCCCTGGATCTCACATATCAAGACCCTTGGCAACTGCCTGGCATGTGGCTCCAGGGCTGGAGTCTTCCTTAGACCATCAACTCCCCGAGGCTGGTGAGGAGCAGGGCTGCCACCCAACAGCGTGTTCAATGAATGAAGAGGCCAGTCTCCCCACCCCAGCCTCCCTGTACAAGCCTCCTCCAGACTGGAACTGAGCTCCGAGATCTAGTGGGAAAGGCCCTCAACCAGGAGCTGGGAGTCTGCTGCAGATGGCTGTGTGACCTTGTTCCAGTCACTTCCCCCTCTGGGCGCCAGCTGCACCTAGGAATGAGGGGGTGCTGTTTGGGAGAATGCAGAGTGATGTGGTTCCAGCACCACCCCCGTGCAAGTGCTCTGGCCACCACGGCAGCCTCTTTCTCGCTGGCTTGGGAGAGGGCACCCTCTTGGGCAGACCCAGGCTAGGGAGTCCTATATTATAAATATAACTGCCACCCAGAATAGCCCAGAACATTTGCAACCTGGGAAGCAAGGGAACAGAGTACTTCTTGCACCTTCCCCCCAACCACACCCCACCTCCCCCACTCACACGTGGCTGGGTCCACCCGCCCAAGGAGCCACTGGGCACAGACTCCGGTCAACATCCTGCTTCCTGCAGGGCCCTCCCGGGAGGCCCGGCCAGGGAGGGCACACAGAGGGGTGTTTGTTCGCAGTGGGCGGCGGGGAGAGATGCTAATCGCTGCGGATCGCTGGGCCTGCTGAAGGTCAGGAGGTAACGCGACCCGCGGTTATAAATAACCGCGCCTGGCGGCGGCTGAGAACCACTCGCTGGATCTGCGCCCCTCGCAGGCCCGCGGGCACGGATTGATTACTGCCCTCCCCAGCCCGGCCTGCGGGAACCTGAACCCCGAGACAGCCGCAGCGCAGTGACCTTTGGGGGTGGCGCGCAAGGTCAGACCAGGCCCCTGGGCTTTCGCGTCCTCTGCTGGGGGGAGTAGGTGGGGAGGAGTCACTGAAGTCCCACCTTCGCCACCCCTGCGCACCCCGCCCCCCCACGCCCTCCTCGCACCACCCTAAGGTGAAAGGAGGCTGCAGGACCCAGGGACCCAGGCTGCCCTCTCGCTCCACTCCCGCGTCCCTCAATCCCTATCCGGCTCATGAGGCTGATGGCAGGCAGGCCAGAGGGACCCAGCCAGGGAGGGCCAGCCCACTGCCACACCGGGCCCTGCTTCTAGAGCCCAAACTGTGATGGTGGGGTTGAGTCCAGAGCCCCCCGCATTCTCTGCTGAATGGAAACAGATCCCCTAGACCGGGGCTTCGGGGGTCTTAGAGGCTTGAGGAGGGGAATGATGCTGGGGGCACCTGGGGAAGCTGGCACCTCTCCCACCTCCCTTTGGAGAGAGTGTGCCATTTATTTTTTAAACTCTATTTCTCCACCACCACCCCCCACCCCCCGGAGTTAAGCACACACACTGAACAGTATACAAAAGTGTTCAGCTGGGTCACTTTGCACTAGCCCTCCAGGCCCCAGAAGGCCCACAAGGCCCCTCCCACTGAGCACCCCCAAAGATAAGGCCTCTGCCGACTCCCAACCTTCCCGGCTCTGGCCTGCTCCTGAGCTGCGCATCCAGGGCGCACACAGTGCGTGCCCTTTGGTGTCTGGTTTCTCTTGCTCAGGGTTGTGTTGCTGAGGTTCTGCTCCTCCCTCGGGAGTCAGGGGCCGCTCATCCTGCTGGGAGCTTGCCCTTGTGTGACTCTCTCACCATTTTTTCACCCATTTTGCTGTTGATGGACATTGGGGCAGGTGCCGGCTCCTGGCTGTCCTGAAGAGCGCCTCTGTGCACACTGCATCCTGGGGGCTTGTGGAGGACAGGGACCGTGGAGCCCAGGTGTGTGTCTGCTCAGCTTTGAAGATCCAGGAAGTGTTACTTTTTCATTGAACATTTCAGCAAAAGTGAATTTTCAAGGTTAATTTTTTTTTTCATTCTTAAAAAAATGACAAGAACACCACTGTTTTTTTTAAAAATGGGAAAAGATGGAATTGTAAAAAAGAAAGAAAGGAGACATGGTGGTGCACACACTGCAATTCTAGCCTGAACTGAGGCTGGAGGGGATCTCAAGTTGGGGGCCAGCCCTGGCAACGTAGTGAGACCCTGCCTCAAAGTTAAAAATAAAAAACACTGGCTATGTGGCTCAGTGGTAGAGCACCCCTGGGTTTAATCCCCAGAGCTGCAAAAATTAAAAAAATAATAATAAAATAAAGAGCTCCCATTACTACTATTTCGAGTCAACCATTCCACCAGCCAATGGATGTTTTCTCAGAGGCTCGGGGTTTGTCAAACCCTGGGCAAGAGACCCAGTTCCTCCTTCAGGCCGCCTAAGGCCTAGGCCAGGTCAGCAGTGGCATCGCCTAGGGAGAGACCAGGGCCTCTGCACCTTCTGTGGCCTCCATCAGCCGCCCCTCACCCACCAGGGCTGCCCCCATCTGCATCCAAGCTGAGGCCAGAGAGCCAAACCTTCCAGGGAGCTTGCCAGCCAGGCCTTGTCCAGCCAGGCTGTGCCCAAGAACTCAGAGCAAGAGGACTTGAAGCCACAGCACAGTCAACTACAGTCAAGCCAGAAGAGGGCTGGAGCAGAGGAGCAGGCTGGGCTGTGGGCCCCCAGGCAGGCAGCAGTCAGGGGCTGATCCCCAGGGCAGCTCTCAGGAGGAGGGGAGCCTGGTTGTGAGGCCCTAGTGGGCTGGACTTTGGACTTCATCCTGAGGCCACTGGAGGGGGTTAAACCTAGGAGTGAGCTGACCAGTCCGCTTCTAGCAAGATCATTCTGGATCCCTGTGGAATTTGGCCCATAGTGACAAGAGCAGGGCCAGAGACCTTCAGAGACCCAAACCTGATAAGTTAGGGCAGTTGTGAAAGTCAGGGTCAGCATGACAGTGGCGGAGGGGAGTCTATTTCAAATAGGGTGGTCAGGAAAGGCCTCTCTGAGGAGGGCACTTCTGAGCTGAGGCCTAGAGGAAGTGAAGGGATAAAGCTCTTGGGGCAGGGGAGGAGGGGAACTATCCAAGTAAAGGGCACAGCAAGTGCAAAGACCCTGAGGCAGATGCACATGTGTCTGAGAAGCAGCAGAGAAGCCAGTGTGTGAGGACTGCAGTGGGGACTGGAGAACAGAGGGAAGACCAAGCAGGGCCATTGTGAGGGTTTAAGAAGGCAAGGCCTGATCTTGTTTTTTGTTATGGAAGGATCACTCTGTCTGCTCTGAGAACAGACTTGGGTGGAGTGGGGGGTGGGGGGCTCAAGTCAGGGGAAAAGTAGAGGCCTGACTGTTAGTGTGGTAGGAGGTGGTCTCACTTTATGCAGATTGTGAAGGTGGCATCCAGAGCATTTGTGGATGGACTGGATGTGGCCTGTGAGAGGACGCAGGGCCTGGTTGATGGTTGATGGTTGCCCATTCACGTCCTCTTCTCTCCCCTGATCTCTGGGTGTCTCCCCTCTGCCTGTGTCCTCCCTCTTCTTATCTCCCATTCCCTGTCCTCCCCTCCCTCGGCCTTTCCCTTCTCACTCCTCCCCTCCCTCACGGTCTGCCCCGCCTCCCCTACCCCATCTCTTGTGTTTCAGGAGTCCAGTGACTTCATGCTGTCACCTCCCGCAGGCCAGAGATGCCGCCCTTGAGGACAGGCAGCAGCCCTGATGACTGTGGCCAGGGCCTAGAGGCTGGGAGCTAAGGAGAAGGTCGATGTGGCTCCCAGGACCCACCCTGGAGCGCGCCTCCCCTGGTGGGAAAGCCCAGTCTCCACCTGGGGCATGTCCATCCCTGGCCCCAGAGGCTCATGGGAAATCCTGGCACTGCAGAAAGCAAAGCCCAGGGTTCTCCAATGCCCTCATGTAGCCCCTGCTCCACTTGGCGGGCTTTGGGGCCAGGGGCTCTCCAGGCCTCCTCCCTGCCCTGGTGGAGAAAAAAATACACTAGCCGAGGACTGGCGTTGTAGCCCAGCTGGTGGATCATTTGCCTGGCATGTGTGAGGCACTGGGTCCGATCCTCGGCACTACACAAAAATGAATAAATTAACCAAAGGTATTGTGTCTGTCTACAACTAAAAAAAACCAAAAAACAAAAAACTGAAGAAAGAAAGAAATACACCAGACGAGAGCCTGAAGCATCCTGGAATGCCAGAAAGTCAGGAAGGGCTTTTTAAAAAGAACCACATGGAGGGGATGGGGGTGCTCGCTCTCGTAATCCCAGCAGCTCCAGAGGCTGAGGCAGGAGGATCAGGAGTTCAAAGCCAGCCTCAGCAATGGCGAGGCACTAAGCAACTCGATGAGACCCTGTCTCTAAATAAAATAGGGCTGGGGATGTGGCTCAGTGGTCAAGTGCCCCTCTGTACCCCCCCCAAAAAAAAAGAGAGAGAGAAAAAAAAAAGAACCACATCAGGCTGGAGTTATGGCTCAGTGGTAGAGCACTCGCCTGGCATGTGTGAAGCCCTGGGTTTGATCCTCAGCACCGATATAAATAAATAAATAAATAAAAATTAAAAAGCAAAAGATCCACTGGCAACTAAATATATACGTATATATTAAAACACACACACACACACACACACACACACACATACACACACACGCATTAACAAGGGTACATGAGGTGAGCATAGGAGTCACCCGGCCACAAGCTGGAACAATTCAGTAACAACATAAATATTGGATGGTAACCCAAATGTAAAGCAGATATTCAGGAGTCTATTATAAATATAAGTGATTGAATAAACAAATGGGGGAGAAGAGACAAGGCTTCCAGGTGGAAGAATTTCTAAGGATTTTTGCAGATACTTCACCCTAAGTGGGGGATGGGAAAGGGGCACAGGACTCCCAGCCCTGACACAGCGCAGACAGACGCACTCAGTGACTTCCCTCCAGAAAGTGCAGGGTGGAGGGGAAAGTGACCCTTTGTGGAGACAAGTGGCAGAAGCTTCCCTCAGCCAGGCAGGCGTTCAAGGTCAACGTCACTCCGGTTGGTAGTGTAGACCCTTGGTAAGCTGGAAATGGTGACCTGACTCCCCAAACCCAGAGCCCCAGCAAAATCCCGAGAAAGCACGAGGTGAATTGCGTCACACATAATCTAACCAGCACCCCTCAAGACTGTCAGGGTCATCAAAAGGAAAGTCAGAGAACCGTCACAGCCAAAGGGAGCCATCAGAGAAAACGATGAAATGGAACGTGACATCCTAGAAGGCATCCTGGAACAGAAAAGGGACTTAGCTGGATCCAGAAAGTCTAAAAGAACTAGATGTCCATTAATAAGAATGGGTCCATGTTGGCTGGGTCACCACAACAAATGTACACCACTAAGGTCAGAAGTCAATAATAGGAAAACTGGATGCAGGAGGAGGGGTTTGGGGGAAGTCAAGGTACAGTGTGTGTGTGTATGTTGTGTACTCAATAAACAAACTTTCCTGCAAAACTAAAACGGCCCTAAAAATACATTTTATTAAAAAAAAAAATTAGTGGTATGCAGTGGTGCGTACCAGTAATCCCAGCAACCTGGAGGCTGGGGTAGGAGGATTACAAATTTGAGGACAGCCTTGGCAAGTTAGTGAGAGCCCTGTCTAGAGGTTGGCTAGAACTCAAGCTTCCCGAAAGGTTTTTGTTTCTTGGACTGCTATATCTCCAGCACTTAGAATACTCTGACGATTAGGTACCAGGTGCTCCAAAAATATATTTGTTGAATGATAAATTTCCAAAGATAGTCATTGTTAGTTTTTCCAGTTTTGCCTCTGCTTAAATACATTGATTATTGTTTTAAAACAAACACACCTACGGTGTTCTGCTTATCTGTTCTCTTCGCCTAATACCTCCTAATTATTTTTCCTTGTTATTCTTTTACAACATCATTTTCTAGACCATGCTGGTGTTCGCAGGCCCAGCAACTGGTTGTGATTCCAGAGGCAAAGACGGTGGGGGCCCCTGGCTCTCTGCTGGCTCTGCCACACGGCCACATGGGCGGGAGGGATGGAGTGACACCAGGGCCAGGCCGAGGCTACTCCCGCCCTCTGACATCAGATCCGTGGGCACTAGATCCTGCCTGGTGGTGAACCGGCTGCGTCAGAACCCAGGGATTAAATAGATTTCGAAATCCACCAGCTTGTCCTCGACCAGCCAGAGGGCCAGCACACATGCCCAGACCTTCTGTCAGCCCAGGCATAGGGGAAAACACGGGGTGTGCAAGCATCTGGGGCAGCAAGGGAGAGACCTCCCACACAGTTGGCCACAGCCCATGGGGTCCTAGCCCAAGGGGCTCTGAAGAGCTGAGCCCCTGAGAGGCGGGTAACAGACCCTCTCTCCAAAGTTGGGGCTGATTAATCTGTCTTGGTTGTGTTGTTTGTTTTGCAGAGCTGGGGGTGGACCCCAGGTCCCGACAGGCCCCCAAGCACTCTACCACTGGGCTCCACCCCCCCACCCCCACCCTGCAGCTGTTTTGCTGGTGGGAAGTGGGTGGCCTGGGCAGGCCTCAGGGACCTGATATGTTGGAGGAGGGAATGCTGAGGGGTTCGTGGGGGTAGGGGGAGTCCTTGGCACTTGGAGGCCATCTGCTTTCAAATCCAACTGCTTGTCCTCCTTCCTGGTAGCAACACAGAGCCACATAGACTCTGCTAGACATAGGAGTGCTAAAGATAAAAATACTCGAAGGACATATGCCTTCTGTGAACCACTCCATGCCTTAGGAGTCCTTCAGCTCTCCTCTGCATGCCACTCCACCATTGCACGCCCACCCTAGGCCCCTGGGCGGGGAGACTGTTATGGCCTTGGACGCGCTGTGCGTGTGAGGACAGCGCGAGCTCCAGTGCCCCTGCATCTGCAGTCACCTGATGGAAGCTGTGTGTGTGTGTGTGTGTGTGTGTGTGTGTTTTCCTGGGCGTGCTGTGTGTGTGTGTGCCTGCTTATGCTTGTGTGTGCAGACGCGTGTGCTTCAGTATGTGTCAATGTGTTTTGAGTCCTGGGGGGCAAGTCATCCTGGGCACGTGGCTAGTGTGGGTTGCATGTGGGTGCGTGCATGGATGCGCTCTTCTGTTTCTGTGTGGTGAGCGGCTTGCACCCGAGGGCTCCTGGAGGAGCTGCGTGGGTGCTCTTACTGTTGTGCTTGTGTGCATTCCACGTGAGCACATGCCTGTGAGCTCGTGCATGCAGGTGTGTGTCCTCAGGTATGTGCCCCGAGTCCAGCTCTCAGAAAAGAGATTAACCTTAGCCCCATACACCTGCTCTGGCAGCCAGGACTCCCCAGCCCCCACAGGTCCTACGCGCAGGACTGCTCCGTGTTTCCGTCTCCCAGGTGAGCTGGCCTCGACTTTTCTCACACCTTTTTCTACTCATTCTCATCTTAAATTTCCTCAGATTGTGCCTGTGACAGTCCTCCCCCTCTGTGCCTGAGTCCCGCCTCCACTAGCTCATTGTTTTGCAGCTCCCTATCCCCTGGAGATGCTGGGGAAGCAAAGAGCTCCTGAGTCAATGTATTTTTGGTAAAGCTGCAGCTGGCGCTCCACAGAGAGACACCATGTACCCAAGCATGCGAAAGGTCCCAAGAAGTCCTGAAGTAAAGAAGCCCGGTTGCATTAGCTCAACACAGGATTTCCTGCAATTATTTGATGTTGGAACCTGATCTGAAATGATAACACCTTGATGGAATCAGGGTTCCTCCATGACACACGGGAAAGTCTGCAGTGTGCAGTGGGAGGTGGCCCCACTGTGACAAGTGGCCTTCTTGCTGCTTCTCTGGCAATTGTGTGGGTGCTTCCCAATGTCTGGTCGCTTGGGGCTGTGCAGACAGGCTGAGCCCCTCGGGGTTGGGAGCCTTGTGGTTTGGGAAGCCCAAATGACTTGCTCTATCCCAGGCCTGCAGGGAGCCCATGCAGCAGGTCTGGAGCCCTTCTCCAAAGTCCCTGAGGCCTCACACTAGCTCCTACCCTCCCATGGGGCTGGGTGGCATGGCAGCTCCTCTCACTGGCCCTGGCCAGTCAGGGCAGACACACCTGATGCATAGAGCTTGGAAGGAACCTCCTTCCAAGACCCTGAGCTGCAGGAGATTGAGCCATTTGAGTGACAACCCCACCCCACCCAGGCTAGAGATTCTGCCCCTAAGCCTTTGCCCTGCCAGACCCAGCACAGCATTCCTACTTCAGCTTCTGCAGCCTTCTGGGGCTCAGACATCCAGAAGCCCCAGTAGGGGGTGGAGATTGTGAGAATAGCAGGTGCTTTCCTGCAGGTTCCACTCCAGATCTGACCACTGCTTCTAGAGAATAAGGTAGTTAGGGGAGCTCTCTGCTTCCTCTTTTCCCATAACATTAAAGAAAAAATCTTTGAAATTATGCAAACAATGCACGAATACAGTCTCTTTGTACGATTCAAATCATACAAAAGCAGAGTAACGGATGTCTTTTACCCTCCTTACCACTCCTCACCCCCCACCCCTTGGGATCCCTTCTGGGGTGGGGATCCTAGAACTAACATGTTAACAGTTCGATGTATCCTTCCATTTCCACATTTACAGATTTATAAAACAAAAAACACAAGTAAAACCGTATCCTGTATATTTATTTCGGAGGCTTGCTTTTTTAAAAAGAATTTTCTAAACAATCTAATCCACATCACTACATCTTGATCTACCCCCATTGTTAAAAATCAGCTACGCAGAATTCCAGAATGTCCATGTTCCCCTCAATTTGATGACTCCCCGGTTGACAGACGTGTTGTTTCCAATTTCTTTACTATTCCTGAATGCACAATGGTGTCATAACATCTCTCTGCAGATCTGGGGGGGGGGGCAAGCTTGAAAGATGGATTCCTGTGCATGGCACCCCCAGGAATCAACCGGAAAAGAAAAGACCAAGGAGGACGCTGAGGATCTGAGAGGATCGGGCTGAGCCTAGAACGTCCCCCACGTTTTGGGGGCGCCCCAGGCCAGCCCTTGTTCGCTCCCCTCGTGCCTCTGAGCTCGGAGGCCTGCGCTCCCGGGAGCCGTCCAAGGCCCTGGCCGGCCGCCGCCCCTCCTGCGCCCCCGCGGCTGCTGAGCTGCCCGCGCCGGGGAGGAACCAAAAAAAGCCGGCGCGTGGTACGCGCGCGAGCAGCGCGGGGCCCTGGCGCTGCCGTTTTTAGTGTGCCTGGAGCCCAGAATATAGACTTCATCACCCCCAGGAAACGCGGCCATAATATTTTTGGTTGCATAAGCAAACGAAATTAGAAATCTGGAACGCGTTCAAGACCTTTCGATGCGAGCGCGGGGGACCAGCGGAGCGACAGATGGGGATTAGGCGAGTTGAGCATCAGGAGAATAATTTCCTCTTTTAATTTGGGTTCCATCGACAAGTAAAACAGCTTTAGCGGCCCAGTTACGTAACCGGCGCCAGCCCGGGGTCTGATAAGCGGCCTCTGCGAGCCAGTCCGGCCCTCCGGCCTCTGCGCGGGGCGGGAGGGCCCGGGGCGGGTCTTGCCTGCGGGCGCCCAGCGCGTCAGCCGCCCCGGGCTGTTAAGCAGGGCTATTGTTAGCACCGCTCGACAAAGCAGCTCGCAGAGCTCAAAAGAGTTGGCCCAGGCCACACAGTTTGCAATTTGCAGTCAGGATTTGAACCCGTCTTGCTCGGATGAGGTTCTCCATTGCACAGGAATAGTCTCCTCCCGCGCTGCAATTCCGTGGAGAGCAGAACACCGCCCGAGGGTGTCCCTTGAGCGATTGTACGAAATAATACAACGTTGGGAGCCACTAAAATGTTTGGCAGTGTAAAGAGTGGTCAAATGAACCATGGGAGCACTCGTGCTATGGCGGTGCTATAGAGCAGAAAACAGGGAAGGGGACTGGAAGATGGAAATATACCCTAAGTAGAGAATAGGGTGACAAAGAACAAGTTACAGGATGGTGTGAATAGTGTGATCTCACTTATGGGAAAAGAAAAAACAATACGCGCCTCCCCAGGAAAGCTCTCTCTTTCCCCATCTGCAATGTACCTGAGAGGAGATAATAGAAAGGGGCTATCCACCTGGGTGAAGGTGTCTGTCACCTCTGGAGGGAAGCAAGGTGTAAAGGAATGCCACCGGAAATTTCCTGTTGTACTCTGCGCACTTCTGGACCACATATTTGAGTTTCTCATAGGAGAATGTACTGTGTGTGCTTGCATCTGTGAGATGCAAACCCTCAAAGGTAAAGAAGGTGGGCGGCCTGCAGTTTCGCAGCCTGAGGCTGGACTTTGCTTCCTGGTACCTTTTCAGAGGTGAGTAGGAATTAGGCAGGTACCTAAAGTTAGAGCAGCAGGTGGCGGGTGGGGAGGATCTTAGAGGCCTATCTGGGTAAGGACCAGACAGGAGTTGTCCCAGCACCTCACATCAGCAGGAAACAAAGGCTGTGCTTTGTTAGTTGGCTTCTTTCTCCCCCAGGCCACTCCCCCCACCCCTTGCCAGTCCAAAAAAAAAAAAAAATGCTGGGGTCACAGCAGCAGTGCTGGAGAAAGAGGCAGAAAGGAAGAACTAGGTATTCACGGGGTGAGGGATGGGGTCACTGGGGAGCAATTTGGCATCAGTTCAACCACCCATCCTATGTCCAGGGCTCTGGTGGCTTTTAAGAATGTCTGCAAATTCTTGACGATCTTCCCATTGAAAGAAGGCGTCTCTGTCCCCTTCCCTTCCAATCCGGACCTTAGCAACTCCCCTGTCATCCATAGAATGCAGTAGGAATCGACACTGCCTGACTTCCAAGCCAGGATCATGCAAGGCCAGGAAGCTCCCCTGTGGCTCTCTGGGGACAATGGCTCGAAGGCTCGGTGGGGGCAGGGGCGGGCTATGTGAGAAGTCTGATTACCCTTGAGAGTGCTCTACCGGAGAAGCCCTGCGCAGCACTTCGGTGGCAGGCCCAACTGATTCCAGCCAATAGCCAGCGTCCCCTGAAGCTATGCGCATGCGCTGTCTAGTGCATCCAGCCTTTGAGTGACAGCAGTCAGTGACAGACCCCCAAGTGAGAACTGTTTGGCAGAGAGTTTCCTAGATTCCAGATCCAGAAAACCACAAGTGAAATAAAATAGTACCTCCCAGCCGCTAAATGATGGAGTGATTTGTTATAAAGCCATAGTATCTGGAAAGGGGGTCACGGTAGGCCCGGCACTGCTCACAGAGGGGTACGGCAATGAATAAGCATGGTCTCTGCCCCCGATAAATGAATAGTTTAATGGAGAAGCCGGACCCAGAAACAGATAATTATAAAATAACGTGGTAAGCACAATGACGGAGTCACGCACAGGTAATATGGGAGCAGGGCTGAGAGTCTGTAATCTAGGCTGGGTGGAGTCTGAAACGTTTTCCTGGAGCAGGTGACTTGGAGCTGGCTTTGAATGGGGAGTAAAAGAGAGGCAGAAAAGGCATCCAGGCAGGAGTAAGCCCCGAGGCCAGCGAGAACAGGTGATGTTAACCAGAACAAGCTCAAAGACAGCTGGAGGTGAGGCTGGAGGTAGCAGGGCCCCAGGTTCCAGGGGCTTCGAGGACAGGCCGAGAGCTTAGCCTAAGAGCAGTTGGGAGGCGTCAAAGGTGGAAGTGGGAGATGGAGACTCCTGGAGACAGCAGGGGGAGGAGCAGGGAAGAGGAGAAGGCCAGGTGGATGGACCAGTGATTGGGAAGAAACTGAGAGTGTGGGGATCCCAGAGCCAGTAGGATGGGAAAGCTGGGAAGGATGAGATGGGAGAAGCATTTGAAAAAAAAATGATCAGATCTGGGTGCCTGTCGTGGACAGGTTTGGGTCTTGCTATTTTTCTTGAGTGACAGCTGGCCCGTGGCACCAGCAACTTAGAGAGCCTTGGATGAGACCTGGGTAAGAGAGGCTGATGGGTGTTTTGTAGCAGTGCGGCAGGTCCAGGTGGAGACAACCAGGACGGGTAGGCCTCCCACGCTGGGGAGGAGGTGTGGCCATAGTAGGCACTCCTTCAGATGTGTGAATGAATAGGTGTAGGACACAGAGGTGGCGGGTGGTTTCATCAGGATAGATGACGCAGACTGAAGATGAGGAACAGGCCCTGGGGGGCAGGCTCTTGCTGCTGAATTTGGCCTGGGAGGTGTAGGCGGGAGCCAAATATGACGAGCAAGGACCTGGTGATTCTGTGTCCCAACAGGTAGGCCACAAAATAAAACAAAACAAAAACCACAAGGAGTCAGATCCCAGGCCCAAGAAATATTAATCCAGTGGTTACTGTGTGCCTGACACTGTGCTTCAGGTATATTATTCAATTAAATCCTTAGGCCAACACATTCATTGATTCCAGAGGCATTTGTTCAACACCTACCATGTGCCAGGCACTGTACTAGATGAGATGCTGGGTATATGCTGGTAGATGAAACAGAAACCACCCTGCCTGCCCCCATGGAGTTTAGGATTCAGTGGAGTTATTGCCATTTCACAGAAGTTCAGACATTAAGTAACATTCTAGGGGAGGGTTTTGCTATCCAAATCCATGTCCATGAAGCTTCAGAGCACCCCAGGATGGCAGGTAGCATAAAAAAAAAAAAATGGCAGGGCTGAGGCTTAAGGGAAGAGGACAGCCTTGACCTAGGATCTTCAGGGAATCTGAGAAGCATTCAGTACCCTTGGGCTGGTCCAGATCCACCTTTCAAGGAATCCGGCTCCCTGGGGACTTAAGCATATCTATTATCAAAAGCTGTGTCTTGTTCGAGGCACAACATGCCTGTGATCCCAGTGACTTGGGAGGCTGAGATGGGATAATTGAAAGTCCAGCAATTTAGCAAAACCCTGTCTCAAAAGAAAAAATCAGAAGGGCTGGGGATGTGGCTCAGTTGTTAAGTGTCCCTAGGTTCAAGCCTGGGTACCTTTAAAAAAAAATAAAAGCAATCTGCGTTCAATGCCCAGGAACTCCCTACCAAAACAAAGAGAAATGCATCTTGTTGGGGTTGGGGTTGAGATGCGGGGCACGGGATGAATAGGACCTGGGGTACAACTTAAGTTTCTCCTCTTCATAAGGATAATGGTGATGCCCCCCCCCCCCAGCATCTTTTACCCACAGGGCTCTGTGCTAAATGACTTGCAGTCTGCCGCTCTTTGGGTCATCCATCATAGCAATCCACTCCAAGTCCACTTCGAATGGGAGAACACAGAGGCTGGGCTGGTCACAGTCAGGAAACTGGCAAAGCCACAGGACTGGGTCCATGGGGCTCCAGAGCTTGGGGTGCAGCCATTCCCCACAGCGCCTCACATCAGAATTGGTATAGGAACCCGGGTGGGCCTGAGCCCCTGGGTGGGACTCAGGGCCCAGCTTTGGAGAACTGGGATGGCACAGGTTTTGGTTGAGCCAGGCACAAGTAATGACTCCTGGCCAGCCCCTGGCTAGGGGTGACCCAGCTCCAGCCAGCTGAACCTTGTGGTTCAGAAGCTTGTCCAGAGAAACCAGAAAGCCTAGCTACTTAGTATGACATACTCTTGATCTAACTATTAACAAACTCACATATTTCCCCCCTACCATTAGCAACCCGTTTCCTTAGCTTCAAAGGCATAGGTGTGAAAATGAGGCCCCAATTTTAAGAATTCTCCCAGGGAACTTCAGAAATCCCCAGGTCCCGGCTGCACACAATTAAATCAAGACTCCCAGAGGTAGGAACCAGGTATCCACCTTTTAAAGAAAGCTCCTTGGGTAATCCCAAAGCTCACCAGTGGCATCAGCGTGTCTGGGGGGGGGGTAGCTTGTTTGAAATGCAAATTCTCAAACCCCACCCTAGACCTGCTGAATCAGAATCTCCAGGGTGGAGCCAGCACTGGGTGCTTTAACAAGCCCTGCAGGGGTTCTGAGGCTCAATAAAATTGAAGGCACACCTTCTTAGACAGGAGGTGTGAGGCCCGGGCGGGCGGTGCCGGCCAGGAACTGCAGACACTGAAAATAATCAGCTGAATAAGAGACACTGAGTTTTGTTTTGTTCTGTTTTGTTTTCAGTCCTGGAGATTGAACCCAGGGGCACTCTAACCCTGAGTTACATCCCCAGCCTCTTTGATTTTTTTTTTTTACTTTTTTTAATGTTTTCCCCCAGTACCATGAATCGAACCCAGGGACACTCTACCACCGAACTACAATCTCAGTCCTTTTTATTTTTTATTTTGAGACAGGGTCTCACTGAGGCTGGACTCAAATTGGCAATCCTCCTGCCTCAATCCCAAATTGCTGGGATTACAGACACACACCACTGTACTCAGCAAGACAGTCAATTTAAAGACACTTTTTGCCAGGTATGGTGGCACACACCAGTAATCCCAGCAGCTTAGGAGACTGAGGTAGGAGGATCGCAAGTTCAAAACCAGCCTCAGCAATTTAGCTCTAAGCAACCTGGTGAGACCCTGTCTGAAAACAAAAATTAAAATAAGGGCTGGGAATGTGGCTCTGTAGTTAAGCATTTCTTGGATTCAATCCTTGGTGCCATAAATAAATAAATAATAAACTTTTTGAAAAAAGATAAAAATTTAAAAATCTTATTCTGATAAACTAAATACCAAGGGTCAGAGAACACTATAATGTGGGCTATCCCCCCCCCCTTATTTAGTTGTAAACCTTTCTCCCTTAAAGTCTGAGTTGTGAAACTATTTTCTTGAGACAAGGCCTCACTATGTTGCCCAGGTTGGCCTTGAACTCCTGGCCTCAGTCTCACAACTGCTAGGACTACAGGCACAAACCATTAT